TCATTGCAAAGCTAAAACAATCTCTTTGTAGTAAAAAGGTACTGAACTGACTGAGGCATGGTTCTATGTATTTTGGAGAGGAACAAGAGGTAGCTTTTTTGGGCAAAAACCCTTTCAGGGAGAACTATTAAAAAGAATGCAGTTCTGAGATTTTTTTTTCACTTGCCAACACTTGTGCATGTTTCCGAACACTTAGTGGTTAATAATTCATTATTATTAGACACTAACATCCGCTACAACACAATTTTTAACAAGAAAAACAAAACTGCTAAAGTGACGCTTCCCGATCCCGCCAAAAAGCCGTTCTCAGAGTTTCTGTGTGAACCGGAGATAACGAGACAGTTCAGGTAGTTTCCAATTTTAAAACAAGCAGCGTTACACATTTAATTTCGTTAGCATAAAACAAACAAAAAATTCAGAAAGAAAGTCAGAAATTTAAAAAACATTTGCATGTAGGTATTTAACATCTGTCATTCCCACGGTATAAATTGTCAGTATTGTACATTGGTATCGACCTATTCATCCACTGTTGTAGCACAAATATTCACATACTTATAGGATTGCACAAGAAGCTGTATGAATTGAGAGGTAGGGCATAGCGGTTTTTCCGTTCGAATTAGAGCATCCGTCTGGGGAAGTAACCTAACAGAAGTCCACAATAAAATACAAATACCTTATGATCGTATTTTGTTTCTGTCGGTGAGTAAGGTTCCAGAACTCCACTGGGTAGGGGATGGGGTTCACACCAGTGAGGATGTCTGTGGCGCAACTTCGCGACTGGACTCCACTTACATTCAACATGAGTTGGAGTGAGGTAATTTGTTGTCGTAAAAAGAAAAAACCAAAACAACAACCGCTCTCACACCAGCTACAATAAATATATTTCATGACAACGAGTGAATGGGCAACGACGAGAGTGATCGCTTTGGTACCACACGTGTCTATAGGTCATGGTAGCCGCTTACCATAAGGTGGGTCCTATGCTTGTTTATAACCTCTTTAATATAACGAAAAGACTTATGGTTCCTCTACATGACTGAATCAAAAATTCATGAACTCACACTAACAGAATTTAGCGTACAGATGAACGTTGAAGTACCATGGTGCTTAAATGTCAACCATACACCAAAAACAGCAGGTATATCCGGACAGACTGACAATCAAGCGAGTTGGGAGAAGTCGTTAAGCACAAACTTAGATCTGTGGAGGTGTCCGCAGAGCTTAGTAGCTTCTCCACTGGCATTTTTTATACGAGGTGTAAGAAATTTCTCCACCCCACCTGGGGGCCAATCGCCTAACTGGATTGCTTTGGAAAACGCTATCGCTTACGATTTCATTTTGTTTTTTCTAGCCCCCTGAGGTTTTCAAATGCCTCGCGCTCTTTTTTTTTCTTTTGCATTGGTAATAACAATGTTAAAGAAAATGAGCGTGAGGTATTTCGGCGGTTAGAAATAACAAAATGAAATCGTAAGCGATAGCGTTTTCCAAAGCAATCCAGTTAGGCGATTGGCCCCCTGGTGTTAAGTGTAAGTGCAGTCCGGTAGCAAACAGAGGTGATGCGGCAGAAAGTGCGCCGCTCTAGTCGTCCTTACCTTGCCGGCGTTACCCCAATCTCTTGTCCCGCGATGTCCTGCAGCTATACTCACTAGCAGAAATATAACACAAGGTAGTGTTATTTGTATTGTATTTCTGATAGATAGATAAAACTTTATTCGCACCAACATACACACATAAGAAATTGAAGACAAATTTTACAATTATATAAATCCTTGAAAACATGGAACAAATTATATTTATACAGCTTGATATTTTCTTGCGCAGCAACGATGCGAATGGGCGAAAACTCAGAGTAACATTTACTCAGAAAGTAAATCGCTGATTTTTGGTTCACGCAATTAAACGTCAGATTAAAATTCACAAAACAATAAACGAAATTAAATTAAATACAAAAATTTATTAAACATTGGACATATAATTGTTATGGTTCATTTACATAAACATATAAACAAAGAAGAAAAAAGATTTCTGCTGGTGAGTATGATAAGGTGGAGGTTGCTTCCCCAGATGGGCGCTCCACTTCGAGCGGATAATGTGTGCTGTGCCCTACCTCTCTTGCAATATCATCTCATCCACATTGCTTTTGTTCATTGTACACAGTAAGCACGTTTTGATTGGTCGTCGACCCTTTTTGAACGGTGACATTGTGTCACGCCCAATAAGCTTCGGATATCTGTTAATATAGTGTAACTGTCATTTTTTCACAATACTAAGTATGAAACTCGTTGACTCGGTAATTAGTCTCATCATCATCAGCAGCCTATTCCTGTCCTTATTGCTGGGGCACAGGCCTTCCCTATGCACGGAATAGGGAGATTGGGCCATGACCCACCACGCAGGCCCAGTGCGGATTGGTGAGTGCTAACGACTGCAGATGCAGCCGGGACCAACGGTTTAACGTGCCTTCCGAAGCTCGGAGGAGCTCGAGGTTGTAAATTTTTGGTCACCCATTCAATGACCGACCACTGCGAAAGTTGCTTAACTTTAACTATCGCAGCCGAACGCGCTAACCACTTGCGCTATCGAGCTTCTCCTCTCGTAATTATTCTATCATAATTATATGATTCGAACATTGCAAGTTTTCTTTATGACGGTTGTTATTATTAACGATCAAACTGTGATAATGAAGTACAATTAATAGTACTTAATTATAATTTAATTAAGTTAATGATTCGATAAAAAATCATTATTATTTATTTATCTATTATCGACAGTATATGGCCGGTTCACATTATTGCAGTAGCATACTCGTCCAACGATTGAATCTAGCGTTGGAATGCTACTGGAATAATATGAACCGACACTGGAATGTTCCTATTCCAGTGAGAAATCCAGTCCAGTGAGTGATTTGACGGTCTAGCGTTCATACAACGCCACCAGCGCCACTGGAACAGTGTCGACTGCCATTTCATTACTGGATTGGATGATTTTTTTTTCATTTAGAAATACAATTTCCCCACTCAGTGGCAGGACTTTTTTATGCTTATGCTATAATCATACATTTTCTTTTCGTTTATTATTTGTCTCTTAATTCTATTTTCAATTATATACTTGCTTTTCTTTTAACTATCTTCTTTTCGCTGTATATAAATATGCCACATTTTCTTTTCGTTTCTGCTATAATACTTTTCTCTTTTCTCTATCTACAATTTCATTTTAATTTACATATTTCTTTATTCTTAATTCCACCATTGTACTTAAATCCTTAAATTGTGTATTTATACATTTAATATTTTCTTAATTTTGGTCATTTTTAATGCACTATCTTTTGCCATTTATCTCTACTGTATCTTTCTATTTTGATTGGTTGAGTTCACCATATCAACATTTTGTCGGTTTTAATAAATACTCCGTCCTGTAACCCGCAAGAAAAAAGGTATCTATGTCCCCAATATGTCTTCTATTATCTATTATTATGTAAGTACTTTATATTATATTATATCTCTATATATTATATTCATATTATATATTTCTTATAATGTGTTTACTTAATAACCTTAGTCTCTTAACTGTCTTCTATTTACATTTCCTTGTACTTACATTGTATTCTTAATTATAATTTAGTCTACTTCTGTTAATAATTTTCCAATCCAATCCCTTCTCACCATTATGCATCGGAGTCGAATGACTTCCTGTGTGAGTTGCAACAAGTCCACAATCGGTCCCCCCTCTCCCCCCACAATGGCTGCAACTGACCAGTGTCTCCGTGCAGACCCGTCTGATATGGCCGTAGCCCAGACAGCAGGAGCACTGGATTCTTTCTAACTTTCTTCCTATCGCATCTTTCACTTCTTCCTTCTTTCTCTCTCCTTTTACATACTTCACAATCACGAGCGAGTTTTTATTCATCGCTTTTTCTACTATCTATCACTCTCCTTTCGCGCATCCTATTATCACTTTCTGCCCTTTTGCTTTTCCCACTCTTGTAAGTTCGTTCCGTTAAGTATGATGGAATGTGGTATGTTAGTAGGGTTGGATGTTTGACAATGATGATTTTAGAACTGCTTTTTTGTAACCATTGTCACTATAGTCTGACCAGTTCAACAGTTTTTAAAAGACTGGAATAATGGAAGGGAATGTGATCACTACAAACTTCTACACGCCTCTTTAAAACCAACTCATGTTGTATTCTTATGTAAAAATATATCAGCAGGGAGCTCATTCTAGTAGGAAATGCCTCTGAAATTCTGATATACATAGAAATTTGTAGAATTTGTAGATCGTGCAATATTACAAATTACTGAGCTATGACAATTCTAAATATTAAATAAAACTCTATTTTTGTTTCATTTTGGTAACACTTTTTAGAATCCATTGCTCCAAATATGGGTGCACTGTTACTTTCAATTTCAAATAAGACTTAGTACTGAATTTATAGTCAATAAAGCTTATCACAATTATTATTATGTTTCCACAGTACATTTTTTTTAGCCAATACAAACAAAACATTATTATTCACTAACTACAACAGGTAACGCAGGAGAATCCCGAAATTGTCAGAATTTATATTAACATGTGATATATTTATATCACATGTTAATGTAATTATTTGGCTTTATGAAACTTATAATTACAAAAACTATAAGAGGCACTTGCAGCATTCAATATGGTATTACTTTAAAATTAAATGCGTTTATAAATGTTTAAATAGAAGCTTTGTTTTAAATAAACCCAAAATAATCGTCCCTTTTTTGAAAATTAAAAGAAAAACAAAAAAAAAACATTAATATTTCAAAGTCCTTCCTTGACTGGAAATCGAATCGGGCCAACCCCCGTAGCAGACGACCTTCCTACGATTACCACTGAACCACCGACGCTTATTGATATTGTCTGTGTAATAGGTAACAATTAAATATGTTACGCGACATGCTTAAAAATGAATCAAAAAAATAAGGTTTCACTTTAAGAAAGAAAACGTATAAAAGTAAAAATTTGAAACTCACGTGTCATACGGCACATTTGACGCTGTCATCCTGGCAACTATCTAGAAAGAATAGTATAGAAGAATCCTTTTCGAATTCCTGCCGATTGTCAATTATTTCATTTACGTCGTAATGAAAACAGTATGGCGCGAATTGCGCTTGCACTCAACAACTTCACAACAGAGCAAATGTGTACTGCAAGGCCGGCGTTGGATGACGCAACTGGCGGGATTCCGGCGAATCGAAAAAAGCGATGATACTAATGTTTTTATATGTACCAGCGCCGCTGGAGCGTGGCTTGCTATTTTATTTACAGTGTGTTATTAGAAATATTTCAAAGAAGTGCACGCGCAGAGCAAAATGTTTTTATGAACTTGTTTTCTCTATGACAGTCTGATTATCTATACTTGAATGATCAAAGGAACTTCCCTAAGTGAAGTTTGATCTGAATTATCCTGTTATCGCCCGAAGAGTTTTTTTTCTTTACTATGTAGTACCCTCAGTGCGACCTGCATGCCAGTCCGAACACAGTTTATAGCGTAGTAAAAAAAATGGGAGGTATCCCCTCTTTTCACCACACTCCGCCACTGCTGCTCGTTGGTTCGATGCTCATATATTTAGACAATAAGAGACAACATTGACGATGTTATCCTAGATAACTAGGGGGTAAAAAATATTATGGTGGGCGGGATCCTAAATCTCTTCGGCGATAAAAGGATAATTCAGATCAAACTTCACTAAGGTAAGTTCGTTTGACCATTCAATTGTACTGTTATTGTATGTAGATGTTCAGAGAGTAAAAGTCAATGTTGTTAAGAAATGAATAGGATATTATCGGATATAAAATACTATAAATCGATCTTATGATTGCTTTTGCATACTTAGTACCAACATGCGTTAAGCTTTGCTTATTAACTATTTATCAACAAGGTTGCTAGATAAATTTGAGCTTTTATTAACACTACTCTTTTGCAAAATCTGCTTTATCTTTCGACCAAAGGTGTTCGATGAAGCAGCTTAGTTAGCTGTTTTTTCATATGTTAGTAGATTTTTTATATGTAATCTCGTCTCAGACTTTGGTCTGATAGCGGTAATTGTGAAACATAAACACCCAGAGTAACAGAAGAGCAAATTCTTGGATTACTGTAAAATAAGAATAGGCTCAGCACTGTCTAAGCATGTCCTAAATAAATTAAGAAAATCAATTTGTTGTAAAATTTTCATTGTTTAATTTTTTGTAACAATGATTATTTTATCTTTGTGTGGAGAAAACTAGGAAAATTTATGAGTTTTTTATAATAGAATTTGACGCCTCCAACCTTAGTGTGAGCACCTTCTTGTATTTATTTTTTCTATATTTACGAAAGACTTATTATCATACTTTATCTTATTATAATTTATTTCTTTTTCTTTATTCTTTTCTTTACTTGCTAAGTAATAATATTCATGATAAATTTTCGAGTTTCAAATGCGAGATTGAGAAAATTTTGTTTTTATGATACTGCATGTACGAATCTCGTACTTGGTTAAGGTAAATGATCGGGGCACTCCCCGTTTTAGTGACGATGATCATGAACAGAAACTTGGCCGGGTAACTCCCAGTAGTGTTTGAATAAGATAATTTTTTTCTTTATTGGTTATTTAAAAGAAAAACTTTTATTACCCACAATATATTCCTATTGATAGTAATTGTTGTGGATTTTTTTTTAGAGAAATGAGAACTATGGTGCATTCCGAATACTAGGCTAGGGCACTTTCTCGTAGTATTTGGATAAAATATGGTTAGTTATACCTTTTTTTGTTTCAAAAGAAAGATAACTAGAGTAACTTGTGCTCTGGGAGGGTAATAATTGTAATTGAATAGGGAATTAACCTTTTTGGCAAAATAGTTCAATTACTTGATTGGCTACTATTCTATATTATTTTTATAGTACCTATATTAAATTTGGAATGCTTTTTTTGTAGTTTGTAACGTACCTCAGGGACGATCCATCGTTTTTGGCAGTCATAGATTCCATTTCACACATTTTGTCATCTATCATCATGGTTATTCATCATTTTTATACACTTTTCTATTTTTATCTTTTGTTATTAATTTCTGGAAACGCACAATTTCAAAAATATCACGCACTATTCATCATTAGGTAAATAGGTATCAGAATCCCATCTTACTAAAATCACTTTTCCAGGGTGCCGACTTACCGGCATTTTTCCTTTTTTTATCCTTATCTGTAATAAAAAAAACAGTTTCTCTTGCCATATTTTATTCTATTTTTATTTATTTTTAGACATAATTTTGTTTATATATTTTCTTGACATTTGTGATATCTTAATGTTTTATCTATTGCCATGGCTACCCATGCTCTCTCCAACTTGGTCCATACCTATTCAACCTTCACAGACCACCTACTTTGATTCTTTTTAGTTCGTTTCGAATCGTGTCTAAATTTAAATGGTTCCGGACCTATAAAAGGCCGAGCCACCCTGATCTTTCATTCATTTCTTCGGCAAAAGTTGCCATAATAACTTTTGTTAGCTCGCTACCGAGCTCTAAATTAATAAAAGGCCTTGTTCCGCCTGCCGTTCCACCAGCCGCGCCGCCAGCCACCAGCAGGGCAGGCTAAAAACTTTGAGGAGAGACACCTGACCAGGAGCGCTTCCGCCTTCCCGAAGCTACCGCTGCTTTTCAGCGGTTCAAATATGATATTTTTTATTTGCTTGACACACTGTAGTTCATATTATTAAAATTGAACTCTTTATAAATCCACTATATAGAGTGGATTAATAGCAGCTACTACACTGACAACAAGTTACTTTTATTATTTAATAATTTCATTTACCAGTTACTGCTTCTTATGCACGATATAAATTATTTTACATTGTTCCTTAAAAAGGTCTGTTAATGAAATTCTATTAGAAGAGAATAAAATATTTGATCTTTATTTTAATTTTATTCAATTATTCTCTCCTTAATATTACTTAATTGATGCAAGCCTAACCAAAATAATTTGATATCCCACCGCAAAAGCCTATTAATTCATCCTTTAACCGACACCAAAGCCAATATTCGCTTAAACATTTGCTAACACAAGCAAACGTTAGCACAAAAGATTCCCATAATCAATACCAATAATGATCAGTAATAAGCAAACTTGTTTGCCAAATAGGGAAAGTTTTGGCCCCGGGCATTATAAGGTACACCTGGCTATAACACGCATTGTCTTTTGTCTGGAAAGCAATAAGGTTACGTTTACATTGTGGGCGTGACAGCGGAAAGATTGATGCTCCGTTACGTTCAAATAATCGGTGGACTATGGCCAGTGTTGTTTGGTTAGGCTAGTGGTCTATGAATAAGCCATAGTGGCAGATTACGTAACATCATACGTGGTTAACGCTACTAAAATAATAAAACAAAATCTGTGTGAAGTACTCTGTTACAAAAAAAATATGGTTGTACCGACTTCTTAGTAGGTATGAACACAGTGACTAAAATGCAAGATGCCCCTGCTACAATAATGCCCTACACGTTATTTTCACTAAAAAGCAGACTGCCTAGAATGAAAGATGTCACTACTCCAATAATACCTTAAACGCTAATTGATCGGCTCCTTGATCGACCCATGAATACAATGTCTAGGTATTCATGGGTAGGCAGTCTGCTTCTTAGTCTATTGAAGTGTTTGGTGGTGTTGTATTTCTGTAAGTGTGTAAGATTCCAGGTCTCCACAGGGTAGGAGCCTACTCGCTGCGGTGCATGGTGGAGGTCATGCTCCGCAGCGAGAGGGCGTGGGAGGCAGTCACCTCCTTATGCGAGAACGTTAGCTCGCAGAAGGAGGCGGCTGTGAGGGAGCGGGAGGATGATCCTCTGGCCGCTCCCTCCCGCCAAAGGAGGACGGGTAGGAGAGGACGGCGGCGCGGCCTGGCTGCTCCCGTCCCATGACCCTACCCGGGGGTCCCTCGCTGACCTGCATGGCGACAGCTGTGCTGGCCACCGATGGACCCCGTGATGGCAGCCCTCCCTTGTAGTTCTGTCCTGCAAAGAGGGGGGCGGGCGGCAGAGGGAGCTACATGGGCACGCCCAAGTAGCCTTCCGCAGCGGACGGGGAGCGGTACGGTGGGCACTAGGCCGCGTACTCAGCCCCCACGCGCGGGCCATCCTGCTCACGTCTGCAGGGTCCCCGCGATACCCCGGGTGTCCCCTGCCGCGGAGCCCCGGCAAGGCCGGGAGGTTGCTAGGTGCGGAGACGCGGAAGAATCCCTAAACGGGGATCCCACGGCTTCGCGCTAAACAGCTTAGAGAGTATCCGCAGGGCTTTTTAGCGGATATTATGCCGTAAAGCGCCCGTAAGGGTTACGGGGTCCTCAGTGGGCAGCCACTGCTGGGGCTCGTAAGGCTTGCGGGAGCTAGGTGTGAGGTCCGTTCGGTGGTGTGCCTCTTAAACGCGCCGTCGTTTGTAAATAGTATTTTTTGCCTGCGTATAAAAAAAATAGTTCTCCACTGGGTAGGTGACTGGGTCAGGGTTGTCATATTATCGCAAGCGTCCATAGGTCATAGTGGCCGTTTACTATTGTTTTCCACGAAAAAGAAACAAATCTCTGAGTTATTTTTATATTTCAGTATAACGAAAGCAAATTCTTAGCCGCCATTATTTTGCTGAAACTTCTATTCGTAATTGTCTTACTAAATTTGACAGCAGTCTCTCTTTGTTATTCCCTAAAGAGCATGATAAGGATATGCTGCTGTCAAATTGAGTTAGGAAAATGCCAATAGCCATTGGAAATGCCAGCATTACAATTATAAAATATCTTACTCTACTTACTTATTTATATCAAGCATTTTCTGGTTAAACTAAAGATATTCATATACATAATTTATAGGTAAAGATTATTATGAGATATTATTATAAAATATCAAATTTAGTTTGTACCAGAATTCAAAACAGGATTCTGCAGAACCCAAAGGCTAAATTAATACCTATTATTTAGAAAAAATCGTAACAGATTCGAAGAGCATTTATTCAATTCACATAGAACCAACTAATATTATAAATGTGAAAGTTTGTATGTTTGTTACTAAATTTTGCAAAAAGTACAGGACGGATTTGGATGATATTTGGTACGCATATAGTTTTTGACCTGAATTCAGACAAAATATACGTTTGTCTCGGAAAAATATTAAGTTCCTATGGGATTCTCTTAGAACTAAAGAAAA